TGATGAATATTGAATTGAATATTGCAATTATTATGAATGACTGATGAACATTGAATGTGAATATAAATGTTGAATAATGCATGATGAATAATTTTTAATAATTATTGATTATCTGAACTGAACATTATGTGCATGATATCAAATGATTTGATTATGAATTTAGATTCAGTTTATATGGATGTTCGATGCATTAGATATGCTTACTCAGCTTCAACGCTGAGCGTGTAGTATGTTTTATTTGGTACACGCAGGTTAATGAAGTGACGTGATCCTAGAGGCAGACGGAGGCGAGATTGTCGGAATGGATGTGATGGTTTTGAATTAGAGAACATAAATAAATTATGTTTGTGATTATGATTGTTAAGCTTCCGCAATATTGAAAACTCCGTACTGTTTATATTATGAAAAATATTATTGTGATAAATAAAAGTGTTTGAAATGTTTTAAATTTTTACGATTACCAAGTTAATACATTAATCTGAAAGGGGTTGCAGACCTGAACAGATTAGGGTGTTACATTTGTCTAACGATTTACACATTTTTTCTGTTTTGGAAAAATATAATATTGAATTATCAAAAATAATTCAGAGTATCGATCAAGAAATAAATTGCAATATAAAAAACTTGTAATGAGTTATAAAATTTATTAGTGCCATTTCGGAGAAAAAAGTGCAATTTTCACAACTTTTGAATTACTATTTTTGGGAAAAATTTGTATTGAATTATAAAAAAAATTCACAAATTGGGTAGTTTTATTTTAGAAAAAAATAATATAGGCATTAGAAGATTATCAATAAATATTTAGAAGTGTTAATGAAAAAATACAATACATTAGAAAATGTAGTGAGTTATATAAATAAAAGTTCCATTTCAGAAAAAAAATTGTTGTCTTATTTTAACAACCATCGTGATGTTGTTTCACAAAAAATATTTATATAGAACTATCGAAAAATATTCATAAGTTTTGTAGTGCCATTTTTTAAAGAAATAATAATAATATAGTATCAAAAAACAATTCGAAGTGTCACTCAAGAAAAATAAATGCAACTTACAATTATTGAAAAATTGTAGTTACCTCTATTGTAAATAAGTTAGTTATAAAGTAAATAAATTACCTCTATTGTGTAGAATATATTATTTTCTAATTGTAACCAGATTATCGATTATTGAAAAAAATAAATAATTTCACTCTAAAAACACTTAAATTTGGTATTATTTTTCCAAAAAAAATTAAAAAATACATTTAAATCTAAAGTTAGAAATTAAAAAAACAAAAAAGAGAGAATTTACCTAAAAAAAATCTCACCTTTCATTTATATGCAAAAAAACGAGCATTTTTCAAAAATTCCATTAAGTGACCGTAGTTTTTTAACGGCAACCCAAAACTCGCACACATGCAGAAATGTTGAATTATTTCCGGTGAAAGTAAAAAGTAGATTATTTTTGAAAGAGCACAAAAGGTGGAATTATTTGAGATAATTTTTCCTATTATTAATTACCTTCCTTATTCCTTTATTTCCTTATTGTATTGCTAATATAGATTAAAATTCTTTCTTGCAATCCTTATATATAGAGAGATATTTTTCTTCATTATTCAATATGACCATTTGTTATCAAATTATACTCCCTCCGTCCTATAATGTTCTTCTCGTTTCTATTTACGAAGTTTGACCAACTTTATTTTCAATTCAATTTATTTGATTGTAGGTGTAAAATTAAAAAAATTATATATTTAAAAACTACATCAAAAGTTCTACAAAACAAGTGGTGACAAGACTATATTATTTTATCAAATACCTAATGCATATAGGTAAAGAAAGTGATTAAAGTTTGATCGTGTAAAAAGTAACTTGGGAAGAACATTTTAGGACGGAAGGAGTATCAAATTAAGAGATCACGAATTCGAAATTCATCACCACCCAATTTAAAAAAAATAAAGTTTCACTAGAAGTCACGTTTGTACGAGAGGGGCGTGTTATAATATATAAAAATCTTTTTTGGACCGGAAACACAATTTTGAAGTTTTTGTTAAATTCGTTCCTTTGACAAATAGGGACAACGTTTGAGGTTAGGAAAATGTTAGGGTGCCACCATATGGGTGCTACCAAGGGTGCACCCATGTGGTGGCACCCTAGCATGGTCCTTGAGGTTAAATGGTCACAACCATAGTTTTGAGTTGAGCAATGCTAGGGGTACACCAAAGGTGTACTCCATTTGTTCTCCACCCCTCTCTCTACCACTCAATTTTATTTTATTTTTATTTATATAATTTTTTTAGTCTCTTACCTTTTTTGGTGGTTATGGAGGGAGTGAGGGACAAATAGGGTACACCATTTGGTGTACCCCTAGCATTTTGTGTACCCGTATCATTTTTCTTTTGAGTTATGTCAAGTTGTCAACCCTCTTAAAATCCAATAATAGTGATCATGACCAGCATCTTTCCCACAGATCAAACAGCCTTGAATCATCATATCATTTAACAAAACTGACAATCTTTGCCACATCATCATATCATTTAATAAATAAAACATAAAATAACAAATCCCAACAAAATAATTAACGGAGTAATACGGATCTCTTTAGACGCACCAACAAAGGTTTTCACGGCTCCTCATCTTCTATCTACCTACGATCAACTGAGTTTTTCATCCAGTGTAAGTGCTTGAATTCTCTTGCCATATACTCCGTCCATAATTGAGATCTGAGTATAACTTGTTTCATGTTGTTTAAATCTAAAATACTCCACCTGGAATACCTCTGGCCTATCCAATTTTTTCAGTTTTCTGTTCTTGTTTGTGATGATGAACAAATAAAGCCAATTATTGAAGATGAAGCATAATTTGATACCGTTTCCCTCATGTGTTTGCCATAAAACTTGAGAAACATCCTCAAAATTAGCTCATGAACTCATGCAATCCGAAAGGGAGATGGCAAAAATTAGGGGTAATACTAATTGAAGATAAGAACATGGTGAAAAGCTGAGATCGGAAGCAATTGAGCGCGTTGAGATCTGAAGGAGATGTGAGAAGCTTTTTGTTGCAGAAACGGTAAATGGTAAGCTCAGATTGGAAATGGAGTTTGGTGAGATGGGAAGTGGAGTTTGCTGAGATCCGTATTACTCCGTTAATTATTTTGTTGTGATTTGTTATTTTATTTTATTTTATTTTTATTAAATGATATGATGATGTGACAAAGATTGTGAGTTTTGTGTTAGTTTGTGAACATAGCATTACCCATAGCAGCAGGCACAGAGTAAATTAGCAAACGCAGAGTAAACACAACAACCATATCAAGGAAGATTGGCTTTCACGATAAACGAATTGGGTAGGAATCTATAATACAAACAAGAACAGTGCATCTCTTTGTGGATTAACATAACCATTCATCACAGGGCTGGTCTGGGTTATCTAACATTAGAAGCAACAGCATAAGCCCAGAATCTGAGATGTTTCTTGATCTCCATTTCATTGCCAAAAGCTGGAACCCTCCAATTCCCCAATCCACTCCCAATATCCCTCTCCTCCTCCTCCATAGCATCCCAAGCTTCAGAAAGGTATGGTCTTGAAACATCTGAAATCTGCCCAGATTCAGAAACCCCCTTCTTCTGCAGTCCAGGGATGATGGAAACCAGCTCCGATTCTCTATCTTCATCCGAGAACACAAACCCAAGATCCATAAACCCTTTTAGCTCCTTGAACTCAAGATCTGACAAGCTCTTACTGTTCCTCGCTGTACTGTTCTTCCTCCTCGCCATCATCGTCCTCCTCCGGCAACTCTCTCTGTTCTTGAAGCCCAGATCATTGTTCCCGGAAAACTCCTTGCCGGAAAGAATGGGTTGGAGCTGTTTGGGCTCGAGGAGAACAGACATGGGGGAGGGCTCCTCTGAATCTAAGCAGTCTTTGGAGGTCAAACATTTGTCACTGAAAGATCTGGGCATGGAAGTTGGGATTCTTGAAATCTTGTTTTTGGGACTTCCTTCTTGGGGCTTTGTTGCTGTGGCTGAGTTTCTTGAGGTGAGAATTTGTTGTTCGAACCAGAAAGAATCGAAGAGGGATAGCAGAGTGGGAAGATACTGTTCTCCTTCCTCTGCTCCCATTTGTTTCAGTCTTTGGAGGATGAATGAAGAAGAAGGAAAATCTTATACCTTAAAAAAAGACAACAGTAAAGTAGAGAGGCTCTGGAAGATGATTATTTGATCAGGTAAAAACCGGAGAAAAGTCAAACTCCATCTTTTGTTTTGAATTGTGCACGAAAAAAGTCATTGTCATTACGTCTACACTATACGTACGCATCCTACGCGTTGCACTATAAATAAAAAGAGCAAAGGTGTACCAGACTCCCTTCTTGTCTACATAAATAGACAAGAAATTTAAAAAAAATAAATAAATAAAAATGGATGGTAAGAAGGGGTGGTGTACATTTGGATACACCTACCTTTAGCATTGCTCTAAATAAATATTACTCAAAATTTTATGAAAAATGCTAGGGGTACACCAAAGGTATACCCCATTTGTCCCCCAGCCCCTCCTCCACCACATAAATGGGCAAATATTTTAAAAAAATTAAATAAATAAGAATGAGTGGTGGAGAAGGGGATGAGGGACAAATGGGGTACACCAAAGGTGTAGCCCTAGCATTGCTCAAATTTTATTTAAAAATTAATATACACTCAGTATTCAAAATCTATATACGAGTATTTAAAAATTATGTCAAAAGTTTATAAAATACGAGATTGACCTGAATATATTATATTTTATCAAATAATCAATGAAAATATAGAAAAAACAAGAAGAATAAGACTAAACTAGATGCAAAATATAAAAATTAGAAAAATATGAGTTCCATATTTTTATTCCCAAATAGAAGTTATAATGCCAATAATGTCAACATATAATACCAAACAAAGTTTGGAATGTGATGGGTATATCCCTATACCCGGCTCGAATTTCCGAAAGGGACAGATCAAAATATGACCGGTCATCTACAATTTTGTAAAATAATATATATATATATATATATATATATATATATATATATATATATATATATATATTATTTATGGATCTTTTAATGTACATATTTGTTAAATTTTATATTTTATAACAATATTCAAATCAAATAAATTCAATATAATATGAGTATTATAAAGTACGCCCTATGTCTCAAAATAATTAGCCTCTTTACTATATCCGTGATCGATAATTTTTGTTTACATATTTGTTTTGTTGATATTTGATAAAATAAAATTGTAATGTCCTATTTATTTTTTAAAAAGTTTGATATAATGTTTAAATATATAATAAGTTTTATTTTTACGCAAATTTGTAAATAAAAACATTTTATAAAGATATAATTCTGAACATTAAAAACAGAGGGAGTATAGGAAGTATGCGTCAAGATTAAAGGAAGAGCTAGTTAAAATAAAACTCTAGAAAATTACTCTTGGATACCCTCGATTTTCTGGTAATGACTCGCAGGTCTCACATTGTTTGAAATATACTTTGGGGTACCCTCAATTATTTGGTAAGAACTCTCAAATTCTACATTATGAAAAATATATACTTCGAGATCTTTAAAATTTTTGATATTATACATCGAGGGTACATTCCGTCCATTTTGACTTCAGGATTAAAAATTCTTTAACTTTAAGAAGCTGAAGGTTAATTTAAATTTAATAAAATAATCATTATGAAGCTAAAATTTAGTATTTGTCTGAGTAACAAAACTTTTAATCCTAATAGTCAAATAGACAGAATATACCCAAGGAGTACATTACCACTAATTTTAAGGACCCCGTAGTATATTTGAAATAATATGAGACCTGAAAGTTCTTACCAGAAAATTGAGGACCAGAAAATTAAGAGTACCCGAGAATATATTTCAAATAATGTGGGACTTGGGAGTCATTACCAGAAAATCCAGGGTGCTCCGAAGTAATTTTCTGATAAAACTCCCTACATTCTTTTTAATTGTCTATTTCACTTTTCATGTCAAATGTTTGATTAACTAGATATAAAAGTATACAATGAATCAAAATATAAAACTTATACCAGATTATTGGTATAAAAAATAAGTTAAATGTGCTATTTTTATAAAAAAAATTGCTGATAAATTTTAAGGCATATTGTTGATCAAACATTAGACTTAAAAAGCGAAGGAGACATTTAAAATAGAATATTGGATGAATTAGGAAATTAGGTGTGGGGCGAAAAAAAACCACTAGTTGCCCACTTACTAAACATCCATAATGCCTAATTTAGTTTTGTGCCGGTAAAGGGAATTTTTTTGTTTTATTTTATTCATTAAAAACAAAAAGAAAGGAAAGAAGAACTACATATTTAGTGATTCTTTTGCCTCTTTGCTCATAATAAGGCTTTATATTTTTTGTCCCTATATAAAAAAGTTTCACTTTCTACTTTTAAAAACCATTTTATAGTTCTTATAATCTCTTTCCTCTTTGCATCACCATAAATTATACAATTATTTTAAATTTTTATATCAAGGCAAATATAAAACTTTTTAAACAAAAACAATTTTAGATTATATATGATGAGACCAAAATAAGTCATAAGTACTAATGTACCTAAAGTGGGACTCATATATCATACTCCGTATATGTTTAATGAAGAGTCCCATTCAATGGTCCTACATTTATTTATGCAGCATTTGATGATATATATCTACACTGTTTTTACATTAATATTGAGTAGAATGTACTGTAATATATTTTTTGTCCCAAAATATTTTACATTTTATGCAAAAAGAAATAAAATTTAAACTTTTTAATTTTTTGAATTTAAAGATTGGTTTGGAAGTTAAAAATAAAAGTTACATATCCAAAAAAATACATAAAAAATTCTATAAAATAAGATGCGACAAGAATATTTTATTTTATCAAATAATCAACCAAAATGTGCACATGAACAAAAGTTTCTGTGACTTTTGAATAGTAAAGAGTGTAATTCTTTTTTAGATAGAGGAAGTACTTAAATTTGAATATAATTTTGTTTAAGGTAATTTTGTAATTAAAAAATAAAAAGTAAATTACATAGCAACCAACATAATATAAAAAAACTAAATTCATTAAGAAAAAGTAAATTCATGAAAATAGTTATAACTTATGAAGACATTAAAGAATTAAAATAACTTATTAAGAGATTACATAATTAAAAAGAAAATACAATATAATTAACTTTTTTTTATCAAGGGAAGGTAATTTTATAAAATTAGAAAACGAATACTACAAGTTTGTGCAAACAACAACAGAATCCATGCTGGTAAGAAGATACAATAAACTAATACTCTCATCCTTCTGTTATCCTTCTGTTGGGTTTGTGGAGACTTGGGCTTGACTTGTAGGCATGTCCCATGTTTTGTAATCCTAAGTTTTTCTCCTATGTATTAGCCCTCGTACTTGTAATTTCGGGAGACACGACAAGTGAAATAGAAATCCTCCTATTGCAGTCGTGGAGTAGGGAAACCGAACCACGTTAAATTCTTGTGTGTCGTCCGTGTTCCGTTTCTCTCGTTTCTCGTAGATTATTTGTGTTTGTTGTGTGTTTAATCCCCAACAAGTGGTATCAGAGCTAGATTGTTCAACATGAACACAAATTGCGAGTTGTTACCCAGGGTTTTGGGATCTGTGCGCAGTCGCCGGAGGGCAGAGGGAGCACAGGGGAAGCCGCTAACCAAGTCGCCGTCGAGTTCACCGCTGGGTCTTGAACCGCGGCGAGGAAGATCTCTACCGCCATTTGCGTATAGACCGCCACACGCAGGAGCAGCGGCACAAGGAGCCGCTGTCGCGTGGAGGAGCCGTATCGCCATATCGAAGCCGCGCCATTTCAGATCGTGCCGCCGTCCGGATGTGAAGTCGTGCAAATCGAGGAATTGTTCCAAGGTCACTCAGCCGCCGTCGTCTACCTGTGGTGCCGCCGCCATCGGGAACCGTCCATCTGAGATTGTGCAGAGCCGCCAACCCAGTTGCTGTAGCGCCGCCTACGTGCGAAGAAGAAAAGCAGGTTGACCAAAGAAAACGTAAAAGGAAAAAGTAGGAAGTGGGCTAATTTGTTTTTAATTGGTCAGCCACTTTATTTGGGCCTAGCTTGTGGTTTTATTCTGGACTGATTGGTTTGGAGTGGTGGGCTTGATTTTCTGACGGAAAAATACCAAGATTCGAAATTAGTTGTACCAGGTATCTCGTCTAGTCGTTTGAGATGACAGAAGACGGGAAGTTCCGAATTGAGAAGTTCGATGGTACAGATTTTCAGTTGGTGGAAGATGCAAATTGAAGATTTGCTGGTTCAGAAAGATTTGGATGTGGTTTTGGGTGACAAGCCAGAAAAGATGTCGGATGCAGATTGGGCAGGTTTGGATCGGAAAGCAATGTCCGTGATCCGTCTCTCGTTGACCAAGAATGTTGCGTTCAACATTCTGAAGGAGAAGACAGCGAAGGGAATTATGGACGCGCTGTCTAACATGTACGAGAAGCCATCTGCTGCGAACAAAGTTTTTCTGATCAGAGAGCTGGTGAACACGAGGATGAAAAATGGCACTTCAGTTACCGAGCATATCAACAAGTTGAATTCGATCTTAGCCAGACTTTTGTCAGTGGACATTAAGTTTGATGATGAAGTTCAAACTTTGCTATTACTATCGTCTTTACCTGATAGTTGGTCCGGAACGGTTATAGCGGTTACCGGTTCAGTGGGACCTGATGGATTCACCTTTGATCAGATTCGAGATCTCGTTCTTGGCGAAGACGTTAGAAGAAAGAGTTTTGGGGAGTCATCGGGTGAATTATTACATGTTGGCAGAGGCGGAAGAAATTGCAGAGGTAGAGGGAGAAGGCACAGACGAAGGAGTCAGTCGAAGACTCGGGATAGCTCAGGCGTAACGTGCTGGAAGTGCAAGGAGGTGGGGCATTTTAGGAATCAATGCTCGAATGATAATAAAGTGAACATTGCTAAAGGCTCTACGAGTGACGAGGATGTCACTCTGACTTGCTGTGAGGAAAGCAATGTGGATTCCTGGGTCATGGATTCTGGTGCTTCATTTCATGCCACCCACAGCGGTGAAGCATTGCAGAATCTGGTTATTGGAGACTTTGGAAAGATACGACTTGTAGACGATAGAGCTCTTTATGTGACGGGCATGGGTGACATGGTATTGAAGACCTCAGTCGATTTCTGAACTTAGAAAGATGTCAGAGTGGTTCCAGCCTTAAAGAAAAGTTGGATTTCTGTCAGGCAGTTGGACGAACAGGGACATGAGGTGAAGTTCAGAGACGGGCAGTGGAAGGCCGTGAAGGGAAATCTTGTCACGGCTCGCGGAAAGAAGAGAGGTTCGCTGTATATGGTTGAGTTACCATCTGATGGAGTGACCATCCCAGTTCAGAAGAGAAACAAAGTTCGGTTCACAGAGTCTCGTGGGTAGAATAAGGTTGTCTATGCAAGAGAGAAACCTAGAGACACATGTCAGACTCAGGATGAACGAGCGAGGAAAGATTCAAGGAGGCCAGTCAGAGGTATTTATGGCAGTGGGAGCTCAAGAGGCGCTTCAGCCAAGTTGCCTAGAAGACGGTGGGTCAGGAGAACCAGTATTCCAGCTCTTGGAACATCTCTAGAAAATTTCTTGCTGAGTATGGAGAGTGTTTGCTCTCAGGATGTTCCAGGATCCGGCAGTGTGCGTCTGCAGTGGGAGCCGGTAGGGACCGAGGACGAGTTAGGGGCAGATTTAGCCGTGACTGATGTGTTGAAACTTGGGAGAGCTTCAATGGGCCTTTCAGTTGTCTGATGAGAGAGTCGCTGCAACAGGAGAGCTGAGGAAGATTACTTGATGTACAGGCAATCGTGGTGGATGGTAGTTGATGATTATCAATCCTCCAAGTGGGAGAATGTTGGGTTTGTGGAGGCTTGGGCTTGACTTGTAGGCCCGGACCATGTTTTGTAACCCTATGTTTTTCTCCTATATATTAGCCCTCGTACTTGTAATTTCGGGAGACACGACAAGTGAAATAGAAATCCTCCTGTTGCAGCCGTGGAGTAAGGAAACTGAACCACGTTAAATTCTTGTGTGTGTTTCGTGTTCCGTTTCTTGTAGATTATTTGTGTGTGTTGTGTGTTTAATCCCCAACACCTTCACCAAAATAGTTCTTGTTTTAACTTTTGCAAAATTTATTTTTGAAATTTGACTTTCTAATTAAATCATTAGCGTGGGAAAAAAGAGAAAGACAAATCACTTAAATAACTTGTTATATCAATATAAAATAGATGAAATATATTACAATAATTTTATTTGGATATATTAGGGACTTTTTGTTTCATCCTCTTAATGGTTCAAATGTCTCAATGGTTCAGAACTTAATGGTTCAGACTGTTTGTTTCAGCCTCTTAATGGTTCAGATGTCTGAATGGTTCAGACATTTGCCTCTGAATGGTTAAGTATTATACAGAGTCTGAATGGTTAAGACCTCTTATTTGAATTGATCAGACATTTGCATCTGAATAGTTATGTAATATACTAGCTCTTAATGGTTCAGACCTCTTACTAGTTCAGCACTTAATGGTTCAGACCTCTTACTGGTTCAGCACTTACCTATTCAGAAGTTGCCAAACAACACCTTAGTCATTTTAATATAAAAAGCAAGTGTGTTGGTGAAACCAAAAATAATGAAAGAAGAAAGGTTTTAGTGAAGGGAGGGAGTATAAGGTATGTGACAATACAAACTGGTAAACAATCTAAACTAAAACAAGAGCTAAACAAGCAATCAAAATTATAAGCAAAACGCCACAAATGCGAGAAAAGCCATCCTAAAATGCAAAGAGCATATATGCCAATACTCGATGATAAAAAAAGTTATCGAAATCAGCCAATGAGGAACCAGAAGAGATCGAAGTCCCTAGCTAACCCAATCTGCAATTGCGCGTAATGATACTGCTAAAAAAACAAGATGACCACAAATCTCAACAATAAATCCATCAAGTGAGAGACCACCTGAACCGTGCCATAAGCCCATATCCAGAAAAAAGAAAGTTCATTTGTCTATGATGCAATTCCCGGCACTGGAAATGCTTATTGTTAGTTTGGTGGGAAATTCAAGCCCATATTTATTAGGAGTTTTACTCGGTAGGAAACTTTATTTATTTGGAGATGTTTATTTTATTTAGACTCTTAAAGTTGCTTTAGTTTTCATGTTGACACAAAAGATGCTATAGCACACTGTAAGAGATCAAAAGTCTGTGCATAGAAATTTAAGCTACGATCTCCTATTTTTTAGAATTATAGTCCTATTGGGAGTTGAAAATACTTCCCAAGAGTTATCTATTAATGGCAATTGTACGTGTTAAGAAATTCTAAGACTTTAGGCTACATGTTGATCAAGAATAAAGTTGTACTCAGGACAACTTTTACTAACTTATATTTACTAGGATTGGATTTGGAGAGGCTATAAAAACGCATCCCTTGTAATTCCTTGGAGTGATTGAGAGGGGAAACACAAAATATACGCTGATGTAAAGTGTTCTCATCGCGTCCCGAAGCTTCCCTTGCGTTACGAAAGTTACATCTATATGAAGAAGAACATTTTCAATGAAAAATAGATCGTGACATCAGGGAGTTGAACTAGTTGAATGAGTGGGCTGCCAACACATTTGATCTCGTGTTCTCGGTGGAGATATGGTAGTCGAAGTGGATCTGTACAGGGTACGGGTTAGAAATCTTAGATTAGAAGTTTTGTCATAACAATTTAGAGAAGTGTGTCTCATTATGTTATTATGTATCGGTGTAACTTGCCTCTTGTAATTGTTGTACGCTGTAAAAAGAACTTGGTATTATTTTTCTTTTTTACCCTAATAAATTTGGCATATATTTTGTCAAAAAGGAAGAGAAAAGGCTTCGTTCTCAAAAGATGCTTGAATCTGACGATGTGGACCCCATTCCAAAACTGATCGGGAGAGAAGGCTAAATCAATTGGTTCGGCTACTAGTTCCAGATCTGTTATAAGCCAGCAAATGGTTTAACAAATGCGGTTGTTCAATCTTAGGGAAGAAGAGAGGGAGAAACGCAAGATAGAGAATGAGGACCTCGAAATAATGGAAAAAGACTTTGGTACGTTAACAGGATTCAAACGAATGTACGAGAAAAAACAAAACGAGATCACGGCTAAATATGATATGCTTTTTTTGTTAATGTAGTTTTTTTTTAATTTTAATGTACTTTTTTATTGAATGTATTTTTTAATGAATTATTGGTGTTTAAATTTAATTAATTAATGAAATCTTATTGATTTACTTTTATAAATTATATATTAAAAAAGAAAAAAGAAATGTTTGAAGCCTCTGTACGAAGCCCGACATTTCCAGTGAAATTGTGATGTAATTAGTTTAAGTTAGAGCTGATGTGACTGAGAGAAAAGGTTTGAAGCCCAGGCTTCAAGCCCATTTCCAGTGCTATAAGGAAACACCAAAGAAATCAGCATGTTACATGCCAAGTGCAAACACTCACCTCTTAACTCTTAAGCCAAGAGTAAAAAAATACACCCTACGTCCACAAATAAACTTCCCGTTGGGCATTACAATGTTTGACTGAAGTTATTTTCAAATCATTTTATACAAAAAATGTTGTAAAATTTAAAAACAACAATTGCATATTAAAAAACTATATCAAAAGATCTACAAAACTAGTGGTGGCATGAATATATTTTTTTACCAAATGGGTGACGAAAATATGCTAAGAAAGTGAATAAAGTTTGACCCTGTGAATAGTGAACGGGAAGTTTATTTGTGGACGGATAAAGTATGAAAATATCATAATCAAATTCTTAAGTATTTTAAAACTAAAATAGAAGTATAATTACAGTGTGATGTGAGAGTATATGCTGACAGTATGATGCAAAAGTGATGACAATGTAATATGACAGTGTGATCTGTCAACCGCCGGCAATCGACGACGGCACTCTAGTGGCAAGCGGAGATGGATGAAAGTGTGGCCGTTGCAGTGTGACAATGTGGTGAGTATGTCTGTGTAATAATGATAGTGTGACAATGTGGTGAGTGTGTCAGTGTAACAATGTGAGTGTGATCTCTTATTTTTGTCTTAAAATACTTAATACTTTTATTTTTGTGTTTTCATAGTTTTTTACATTTATCTAATGAGCTCTCTCATCATACAATCATAACAAAAACACTCAAAATTTTCAATGAACTAACTCAACAAAAAACTCAGGCTTGCAGTTCTATGCCCTAAATATGTTTTATACCTTAACACGCCCCATCACGTGTAGGTGAGATATATTTTAGCTGGAGTCTCGCTTAAAAAGACTACCTCCGCCCCTTTGATAGAATTTAGGATGGGTATGGACAATTAGATTTAGGTAACAAGATACTTGAGTTGAACCAAATTAAAAGATTGAATCCAATCGATTAGTTAGTTTAACTCAAGAGTTTATATACCCATTATTTTACTCTTGGACTTCCGATGTGGGATGCACTTTAACACTCCCCCTCAAGTAGACAACAGGGCCATTTTGAATCTAACCGGTTGACCACTTGCAAATGAACTCACATTCCCTTGATTGTTTTTTGAGCGCCAACATCTAAAGGACTATGAGCCGCCGGGTATGGACTTCTAGATGATCAATCGTGTTAAACAGACCACAGGCCGTTGGTTACATACTTCATACGGACCACAGGGCTAAAGACTAACGGGCCGCTAGGAATGAATGTAACGCCCTCAAACCGGCCTAGTTTTAAATAAATTAATATTATTGAAACTCATTATTTTAAATTAATAAATATTGAGATTTTCGATCCGTTCAAATGATTTCCAAAGCTAATGTATTTTAATTATAAACGATGTTTTAATAACGTGTCTCTCGACATTAATTAAGTAAAGAAATTAAATAATGATTGGAATGGATCCGAAATTTTGGAAGTAAAGTTTTGAGAAAAATATTCTGAAGATATCATAAATTTAGTTTTGACTGTTTATTTCCGAAAGTGCAAACGGTTTTCAATTCGGACAAGTTCGGGGGAAAAAAGCATACCGTTCAGGTCAGATTTTACATAACGGAGTAAATTTTAGGGAGATAACTCCCCATCTAATCATCTCCCATGCCACACCCTCTCATTTCCCATAACCCCCCATTCATTTCCCAACTTTAATTCTCTCATTATTCACCATTAATTCCTTTATTATAAAAACTCCCTCTTCCCTTCACCTCCTTCACCAACTTGTAACTCCCATTCAACATCACAACTCTCCCTCTCACTCTCTTGTTGTTCGGCCAACCACAGCGGCAGCCAGGCGAGGAGTACTCCGGTGAGAAGACGAGGAGGTAGAAGAGAAGGAGGGCTACGCGAGAAGTCATTCATTCATTCGTTCGTTCGTTCATCTCGTCCTATCGTTCCGTCAACCCCTTCATTTAGAGGTGAGTAGTTGTCCCCTCTAATTCTAGAACATTTAGTTATAATCTATGTCGTTATATTCATAGGAATATTGTACGCAACCTACGTAGAATCTATGCATTTTTGTAGGTTAACTATCAAAACGTTCACTACGTAAAACTTATATATATTGGCATAGGAATTACTAGGAATATATTCACCAATGTTAGTATTATTGTCCTAAAAAGAATCAAGGCATTAAACTTTCAAAACGGATCAAAACGTAGCCAAGGACAGAAGATTGTCACCGGGACGGTCGACCGTCGCTTAGGACGGTGGACCGTACCCTTGGCCGTTCCGACGGTCATCACCGTGATGGTCGACCGCCGGTCACGACGGTGCACCTTTTGTGACCCACACCGTAGCCCACGGTCGACCGCCGTTAGGGTACGGTCGACCGTTCTTCGGGTAGAACTCCGGGCAGTTTGTAGAACGAGCACCGTTGACCATATTGAACCAGAATTTGTTGTCTTTTTGCATGAAATGTTAATCTTCATTATAAATGTTATTTAATTGATATATTCTTGGCGTTGAACAAGGGTAAATATATCAAGCATTCATCATGTTCATTCTAGACGCATGTCCTAGGTTCATCATCATGTGCATACCGATGTAGGGAGGTCAGGCTTTTGTGCGCCTACTACAGTGGGCCCGTCCAGAAACCTTTGAAATCCAATTGGTTTTCATCAGGTGGGCTTTGTGTACGTACATAGTAGTCAGGTTACGGCTACTATCCAGTTTTGCTAGTCCACTTGTTCCCGGCTTGTTACCATTTCGGTATGACAACCGGAGTGCAGGGGTGATCCTGTCAAGTGAGGCTAAGCCAGGGGTGTCCCTCATAGTTTAGGTCATGCATCAAGTCGTATCATCATCATGTATGTTCCACATCACATCAACATTCAATGTGGTAGCACATCATTTTGTTATATGTAATAGTACCTCAACAGGTGCAAACAAAACAGTTAGTAAACATGTGGTTTTCCATACGTTAAGTACAGGTATCAATATGTGTATAATCATATGGGTTACCACTTAATGTTTTTTTGTTAGATTCACTCCTCAGCTTTTGCTGAGCGTGTAGTTGTTTTTGCTACACGCAGGTAGACATGACGATACAGGTGCTAACCCTGGAGGACAGTGATGATGGGAAGATGGGAGGCGCACGGACAAGTTTAATAATTATATACTTTTAATCAATTAATCATTTGGGCAAGATCCCACCATATGTCGTTTTACTTATTTTGGACTTATTTACTTACTTCCGCTTTTTCTCTACATTTATATCACACACGTTTTGGGGATAACTCCCTAGTATTTATTCCACTAATTAAATCTAACCATTTTTCATAATAAATGAGCATTAATGTTTTTCTGCTACGGACAGTTCTTGGACCGCCCATGTAACCCTTCCGGTCCGTTGGGTCGCGGGTGAACCGGGTCCACGGAAGGCGGGTGTTACAATGAACGTCTAGACGGACACCTTGACAAACGAGGTGGGTCAAAACCTGCTCCGATACCATGATAGAATTTAGAATGTGGTATGAACAACTGGATTGGGCAATAAGACACTTGGGCTGAACCACATTAAAAGATTGAATCCAATCTATTAGTTAGTTTAACTCAAGAGCTTATATACCGATTATTTTTCTTTTGAACTTTCGATGTGGGATGCACTCTAACACTCCCCCTCAAGTGGACAACCGGGCCATTTTGAATCTAATCGGTTGACCACTTGCAAATGAACTCTCATTCCCTTGATTTTTTTAGCGCCAACACCTAAAGGACCACGAGCCGCTGGGTATGGACTTCCAGATGAGCAATCGTGTTAAATAGGCCACAAGCCGTTGGGTACATACTTCATACGGATAATTGTGCTAAAGACTAACGGGCCGCTAGGAATGAACGTCTAGACGGACACCTTGACAAACGAGGTGGGTCAAAACCTGCTTCGATACCATTATAGAGTTTAGGATGGGTATGGACAACTAGATTGGGTAATAAGACACATGGGCTGAACCACATTAAAAGATCGAATCAAATCTAGTAGTTAGTTCAACTCAAGAGCTTATATACCGATTATTTTGCTCTTGAACATCCGATGTGAGATGACACTCTAACACTTACCTTCAAGTGGACAATCAGACCATTTTGAATCTAAGCGGTTGACCATTTGCAAATAAACTCCCATTCCCTTGAACTTTTTTTTGAGCGTCAACACCTAAAGGACCATGAGCAACTGGGTATGGATTCGAGACGAGCAATTGTGTTAAACAGGCCACAGGCCGTTGGGTACATACTCCATATGGACAACTGGGCTAAAGACTAACGGGCCGCTAGGAATGAACATCTAAACGGGCACCTTACAAACGGGGTGGCCAAAACCTGCTCCGATACCATGATAAAATTTATGATGAGTATGGAGACAACTTGATTGGGTAATAAGACACTTGAGTTGAACCACATTAAAAAATTAAATCCAATCAATTAGTTAGTTAAACTCAAGAGCTTATATACCCATTATTTTACTCTTGAACTTCCGATGTGGAATGCACTTTAACACCCTCTAAACATGAGATGTTTTGATTTTGAAGAGATTTAAGGGAAGCGTATTTTGGTATTGAATTTCCAAAAATGTCCTTTGATATGATGGGTAAAGTAGGATTTGATGGGTAGATTATGAGTAAAAAGGTATGATCGATGTTATAGATAGTGCATGAAAAAATAAGGGGTAAAAGTGACTTTTTAATAGAAATAAGAAGTGTTTTTTGGGACGGATGAAAAAAGAAAGGAGAAATGTTTTCAGGGACGGAGAGAGTAATTTTTTAAAATTGGGTGAAAGTGATGTTTGAACTCTCTCCCTCTTGGTCATCAAGATTTTCATACCAAATCAAGGAACCAATTCAACCAAAAGCTCAAACTTGTGTTTGTAAGCCCAAGAAAGATTAAAAATACCAGCCTAATCACCTTTGGGACATACTTCCTACATGTTTAAATAACTGTCTAATATGATATTTTAGATACATTGAGAATCAAATGAATGGACACACAATCACATAATGTTTGTTTACATTCATTCGAAATCTAATATATTTAAAAAGTCATAATATAAAGTTATTTTGAAAGTAGTGACTCTATATGAACCTCAATTTTCAAAAATAGCATTTCAAATCATAATACTGGGACTATACATATCAGGAATGGTAGTTGTTCAAGTGGTTACTCTATCCGAGTAAGCAATGAATCATCCAATGGATCATGTGGGTGCTAATCAATTATTAGATCATTCCAAGTAATGACTTATTGCCAACTAAAATGATGCAACCACTATTATTGGAAGAAAGAATATATATTACTCGTAATATATACCATGGTGTTCTCAATCCTCATACGTGGTGGGGCTATTCAACTTTTGTTTTATTTTCCAACCACTTATTAGATTCCAAGTATATATCTTAAGATTCTTTTTTTTATACATGCTCACTATTGAAATATATATACTCCATACACTCATATAGAGTAAATAATTGTGCCGATTCATTGAAGATTTAATGGAGGGAGTTGAGGAGATTTTGAAACTCTTTGATTCTTGCTGGTTTGAGAAAGAGATTCTTATTGTCAATGAAACCAACAAGCCACTTATAAATGATCTCAAGTCAAAGGAGAAGATGGGTTCTCTAAAGATTCGATCGCAGAGCGATAATCTGCTGGCATTCAGGACAAACGTAAGCCCGGAGTCGCGTTGCAGGAAAAGGGTTCGGGGCGAAGGGAGGAAGAAGAAGAAGAAGGTGAGGGCGGCGGCAGGGGCGGGGGAGAAGCTGAGGGGTGCTAAGAGCTTATCAGAGCTTGAACTGGAGGAGTTAAAAGGGTTTATGGACCTGGGTTTTGTGTTCACTGATGAAGACAGGAAATCTGGGCTGGCTTCCATTGTTCCTGGACTGCAGAGATGGGGGAGCAGGGGAGGAGATGAAGAAGATGATGATGATGATGGAGGAAGAGGAGAAGAGAGTAATGGTAATGAGGCAATAATTGAAAGGCCTTATCTTTCTGAGGCATGGAGAAGTATGGATCAGAGGAAGATGATAAAGAAGCTTCTGAAATGGAGGATTCCGCCAGGTCCCAGAGATGATGATGATGATGATGATGATGATGAGTCGGCCATGAAAGACAACCTCAGATTCTGGGCACAAACTGTTGCATCAGCCCTCAGATAGTTACATCATTATTCTGTCCCATATGAATTGAAGAATCTGACACATAATAAAGAATTGTGTGCTTTTCAAATGTATATAAATCTTTCGGAGTTACAGCAATGGTGTACATTGATTAGAAGCTAATGAGCCGAAAAATCACGAGTACAAAAAATGGAGAGCATCAATAAAAAGAACATAGGAGCAACTTAATACTCCCTCATTGAATACAGAAAAGTGAAATTTGCAAAAAATAAGACTAAGACATTCTGTTCTGAAAATTATATTTTATCCCTCCGTACCTTTAAACCCTTCCTGTTTGGACTTTGGGCTAAAATAATTATAAAAGTATAATTTTGATTGATTTTTCAATTTTGCCCTGATGTGATTGGTAAAAGTAAGATGTGATAGTTTGGTTATTAGTGAATTAGTATGATGTGATAGGTAGGGTATGAAAAAGTATGTATAAAAGTGGTTTTTTAATAGCAAGTGGAAGTGTTTTAGGTAATTGGAAAAAAATGAAAGTGGAAGAATTTAATGGAACGGAGGAAGTATTAAATTCTTAATATTACTTCGAAGTAATATTAACAGTAAGTATGATTCTCAAAATTCTAAGTTTTGACTATGTGAATATAGTCATATGTGTGGTGCTATATATTCAATATCGCATACATATATTTGCGTTATTTTAGTGTGCAATATTTGGGGTCCCCCAAGTATTTTGGGTAGTCACATAGATAGACATGCATGATTGCAATTCACTATTGTCACTTGTCATAATATGTTTGCTAATTAATTGAATTCACACATAGAAATCCCACAATGAATGTGTGGAAGCTAAGCAATATATACTACCACCCAACCCGGCCAACGACTTTACCCTTAATCATAGTGTAGACCATTATATTTCACTTGATTAATGGTGTCTTGTTTTGTTTGCCTCCACGTTGACCGAGTGTTTACAAATAATGTGATTTGACTGCCACGCCCTCGCATAACATGTGTTTGTGTTCGAGTGATATATGTAGCTTAAATGAATGAGAGTTGGTCTTTAAGGGGTACACATTATAATTCGACTTTTTATTAATCATACTGAAATTATAACTTCATTTACTTTCCATTCTCCTAGTCTACTTTCATAGTCAGTACTAGGAGATGCTAGAGTTAGGGTTCAATCTTTTTGTTTTAGCACCGGGCACAGGTGTCACATATCTTAGTTGGTCAATAAGGAATGCAAAAGAAAGTGATATCTGAGTTTTATTTCTAACGACGACTATGAAGTATGAACCATGTGTACCTCTTTTAATTTACTATCTAAGTTGGTTTTGAAATACTAGGAGTATGTTTTTCCATATTTTATTTAACAAATAGTTTTACATATTTAAAATTTTGAATATATTTTTTACTCCAAGTATATAACTTTAAACTAGCTTACAACGCACTACGTGCAATGGATGCCTAAGGCATGTAACATTTGTTCTACTTTGCTAGTACTAAAAAAACAAATTGAACAGAAGTTTTTACACATTGGAATATAATAACACTTGTTTGCAAAATAGAGGCAAAAAGAAGCTTATACTATCTACTTAATATTTACATCGCATAGTCTACAAGTAGAAAGTATCACCATTGAGATAGTTTGTCGCTAGCTTCGTTTCTTTTTCTTCACTTTTTATGGCATTTGAATTCATTGATTCCCTGTTGTTCGTAGATATGATGAGTTTTTTCAATGCTTTTTGCGTTGCTCTCGGGAGTTTCTATTGGAGTGATTGGTGGCAAATATAGGCAAAGTAGGGAGTACATCTTCATGCTTAACATTTGGTAATTGGGTGACATCATCTTTTATGACAGTTGCCATAATAAGTGAGGCTAGTAGCTTGCTATTTAAACAAAATGTAGAGTAAGAAACTTTAAGCCATTACAGCCATATTCTTGTCTTTGCTCAATTATATTATAGCAACTCCAAATGCAATTTTTATGGAGTAAGAAAGAATGAGATTAATAAAAATGTGTACTCTAGACGCAATACATGCCGCTAGACTGGAGATTAAACGAAATGAAACTGTACAAAAGACCAACAAGAAATTCGTTCAAAGGGAGTGGACTTGTTGATTGTAAATATTCACTCTGCTGATTGCATTCGGTGCTTTTTGTATATAGAAACACACATAAATAGAGTTTGTGTTACAACATTTGTGTCGGCTTGAATTGTAACTTCTTTTCTAGTGGTGTTCATTTCTACTCTCTAAGTATGTGTGTTGTTACAACACTTGTGCAGTGAGTATTTGCCCTCTCTGCTCGACTAAATCAATACATCAATACAATTTATGTGTGTCATTAATCATTATATAAACCATTCATGTCTTGTCCATTTCCCAAGCAGAATTCAGAAAGTGTGCATTAGTAAATTATCATCCAATTCGTATGAACAAAAACATAAAAACAATTAGTCTGGGATTTGGCGTCTGTCTCCTTCTGCATCGAACCGACTCAAAGAATATGCCCTAATCTCTATGCTCATGTCACTTTTATCTTGAAAGTCAATGTCAAACTCAGACTTCTTTAAAAAATCAGCCCCAACAGCTTCTGCTTTAGGAAATTAACTTCAAAATCATAAATCTCTTTGAAAATCAGCCCATAAATTAACAAATTTCTCATGAAAGTCAGCCCGTAAGGTTTCAAAACCAGCCCCAAAAGTGTCAGTTTTTCCCATACAAATAAGCTTCACAATCATATTCTGTTAAATATATTATTTATATTTAATTATTCTTGTATTATAGTGTTACCATAATTGTATTACCTTCCTACTATGTCTCTCCTACCATAATTAGGATTGAGACCCCTTGTATAAATACACATGTAATTAACACAAATCATCAATGAAAATATTCTTTCTACATGGTATCGGAGCCTAGTTAAACCCTAAAACCTAAAACCTTCCCAGCGCCGTATCTCTCTTCTTCGGCCCTCTCTCGCCGATCTCTCCCTATTGCTGCTCTGCACTGCCGGCGACCCCTCTCCCTCATTCCAACATGGCTGACAAAGCAGAGAGTGCAATCACCTCTCAAGACACCACCTCCAAATCTCCCCACCTTGCCTTCACCACCATCTCCAACGTGAAACTCCACGTTCCTATTCAACTCAGTTTCTCACAACCCAATTACAAAAAGTGGAGTCGATTGTTTCTCCTCCTAGTTCGGCGCTTCAACCTCCATAGGTACCTCGACGGCTCCGTCGTCCCCACCTCTCAAGACGACGATGAATGGTTTCAACTGGACGCTCTTCTCCACGGTTGGATCCTCTCTACCATCACCGACGAAGTTTCGGATCTTGTCATCTCCTCCACCACTTCTGCAGCGTCTCTCTGGAAGGTCATTCACGATCTCTTTCATGACAACAAACATGCTCGTGCCATGCAACTCGAGCACCAATTCCGCACCACCATCAAAGGCAACACCCCCATGGCTACCTACTGTCAGACTCTCTTCAACATCGCCGATTGGCTAGACGATGTTGATGCACCGGTGTCACAGCACCAACTCGTTCTTCAGATGCTACGAGGGCTACCGGAGGATCTCCAGGCTCAGACTTCTCTTCTTCAATTCCAGGACCCGTTGCCTACATTCCTCCAAGCCCATTCGGCTCTTCTTTTGTTGGAATGGCAACGGACATTGCTGGACAATCATGGATCGTCGGCCCTCGTAGCACGCTCGGGCAGTTCTCCCCACTCCGGGGGTTATGGCGGCAGCAACCAGTCGACGGGCAGCAACTTCTCCGGCGGGTCCCAGGGCAGTTTTGGCAGCGGCAACGGGGATGGCTCCTCTAGGCAACGCAGCGGCTATGGACGGGGTCACGGACGTGGCAGTGGAAACCAGGGACGAGGTCGAGGTCGTAGTGGCTCAAACGGATCG